AAAAAAACATAAAATTTAAATGAAGTGAAGCAATATCACACCAAGAATGATAGAATACAAGATTGCGCCAATGAGAGAGGATTTTTGAGCGTAATTTTTGCGTGACGTCATCTTGGTGCAATTGCGAGAGAGAAATGCCAAAACGCATATAAAAATATGTAAACAATGCAGAAAAATGTGTTAATTTTATTATTACATGGCCCAATTTTGCAGGAATCAATGAATATACAAAGATTGATTAATTGGGAACACGTAGCAATAATTTTGGACATGTAGCCATTTAGATAAGTACGATTTTGAGCACATGAGAAAATGGATGTATTAACAGTGTTTGCAATCTCATGTAGACCAAAAGGAAGGTGTGCAGCAAAGTGAATTTTTGGACTCGCCATTGTAAAAAGCCATGCATAGTGCATATGTATATTTGTAGACGGTGGCCAACCACCATAAACTCCACAGCTGTTGACTCCACAGCTCTTATTTGATGAGGATGAATGAGTGTTGCTTCTTTGGAAACAAATATTCTATTACTACGTTTATACGTAAGCTATTTGCAAATAAAAATAATTTGAAAATACCTAACTCACTGTTTATTCGATGGTGAAAAATTCTGTTTTAATATTGCCTGATTATAAAAAAGCAATAATTTGACCATCGAAAAAGAAAATAAAGTTAAAAATGGCAACGTCTTGATTATAAAAAGGCAATAAGATGACCATCCAAAAAGAAAATAAACCTAAGAATGGCGGCGCCTTGCGCTTATTTGCAAATAGTACCACTAATCAATACTTATTTGCGTTATTTACAAATAAAAAATTAACTCAGCGTTTATACGGCAAATTTTACCATTTCGCAAATTGTTATTTGCAAATAATACGTGCGTATAAACGTAGTATATGTAAGTAAAACATAATTCAAGCTGAACTTTTAAATGTATAATAATTTGAGCACTGATTTATATTAGGTACGTAACAGCGCGGTAAGATGCCGCTTGAATTAGCGCCTGGCGACTTTATCCACTGGTGCATTACCTCATACCGGCACTAAAAAGAATCAGGTACTAACAAAAATATATTTACATATATGTATATGTACACATGTATTAGCTTTAATCTTGTTCTAACTACAATTTCCTCTGTTTTAATAAAAATATGTAAACCCAATACTTGCCTCAAGCATCTTTGTTTATAATAAAAAAAAATCATTTCGAACTGTCCCAATTTGCCACAGGGCGAAGACGACGTCGTTACGACGTCGCTCTGGCGAAGTCGTTTTGGTGAACTTTGGTCTTTGGTGAAGCCGTTACGACGTCGCCCTGGTGAAGTCGTTTGGGTGAACTCGAAACGAATCCGTTTCTTCGAACCTAAAAGTTTTATGAGGAACCTTCGGTCTAGGTTGGACAAGTTGCACGCCCAAATTTTAATATATCTAAGCATAAATAAAAGTCATTCATTTGGATAGTAAACCGTTTTTATTTTGACAATTTTTTATCATAACAGAATATGGAATCCACAATGTACGCTTGTGCTCAGAAAATTAAGCCACCTACATCTTTTTTTCAGTATTCATAATATTTTTCATATAAAATGTTTTTTTATAAAGGTAAAGTTCACTCTGTTGGCCTTATTAATAAAAAATAAAATTTGTGGGAATAAGGTTTTTTTTTAATTTGGTAGAAAACTGTACTTTTACTTTACAGCGTGGCGACGAACAACTGTTACCCAGGTTTGTTTGAGAAATAAAAGGGTCCTTTATAGATTTTGCGAAAAAAGTATTTTATTGTTAATTTTCCACAGATTTTACTTTAGTCGGATTAATTAGTGTTTAAATTGTAATCCTTATTTACATTTGCCAGCAATGTAAACTTTGATAGAGAAGTTAATTTGGCACGCAAGTCTTTTTTAGGTGACAGAAGGGACTCAAAATGGAGAAAATTAGCGGCATCTCATCACAACAGCGGCAATTAGAAGTACGCTTTAATTGTTGATGCCCAGCTCTCAAAAATGATTAATATACTTTTAATATTATTGCAGAAGCGTTCCAGCAAAAATTCAACGAATCTGTGGAAATAATGGAGCGAGTAACCAAAAGGTATTTCCATTATGCTGGAGACAGGATCTCAAAACGGCATAAAAGAAATGTTGCACAGTCGTCTGCATAAATATCTGTTATATTGATAAGTTTTAACAATTTATTTTTGTGGTACTTCATTTTAGTTATCTTTATAAGAATTGGGTTTATTTTTAACAAGGGCCATATAGTTCAAAATTCAAAAATTGCGCAATATACATATGCATGTATGTGTATATAAAAAAAATTAACAAGCTTTTATATAAATTTTAAGATTTTTATTCTGCATTAAATAAACACATATGAAGCAGTTTTAAAGTCCATTGAAGTTTGGTATGTATAATAGAATACAAGGTTGAAGTGCCTCAAAGCATGCATTTTCTGTCATAAAATTCATATGGATGAAAATGCGCAGTACCGCAAAAAAAAATAACACCAAAAATCAATGTGAGTTTTGTGTTACTTCAAACCTGTGTTCTATTATACTAACATTTTATGGACTATAAAACTGCTTCCTATGTGTTTCTTAAATGCAGATTAAAAAGCTTTAAATTTGTATGAAAGCTTGTTGAAATTTTTTTATATATACATATATATGTATGTATGTATACTGCACATTGCTTTAATTTTGAACTACATGGTCCTCGTTAAAAAATAAACCCAATTTCAATTAATTTTAAAGATAACTAAAATGAAGTAACAAAAAAATTAATTGTTAAAACTTATATTATATTAAAATATATTAAAATTTTTGTTTGTATTTTATGACTGAATGTTTACCTTATTTTTCTTTTTTATTAATATTTAAGTATTTATGTATATTTAAAAAACTTTGAAAAAATTCAATGAATTAAATTAAACTATTTTAAACTAAAAAAATTGTTTTTAATTTCCTAGCAACTTTGAGCTTCGTTTTGCAGTTCGCTGGTATATCGTTCTTGCGGGCTGCAGGGGAGTCGTTTTTGCGACCCGCCGGTAAGTCGTTTTTGCGACTCGCCGGCGAAGTGTGCTTTTCATCCGACGGCGAGTTCGCCGGCGAGTCGTTTGCGACCGTCGCCGGCGAACAAATTGGTCACCAAAACGAGTCGGAAACGACGTCGTCACGAAATGGCAAATTGGGTGTGTACTATTTTCAATATCTTCACTAGTAAAGTGCTTCATGTACACATACATATGTGGCTCGGTTTGGTGTTTAATGCATCCCCTCGCCGGCAGAACTGCTTCCACTTTTTCGCCAGATTTGCGTCCGTAGGAAACGAAAAAAAAACTTATATCGCATGCTTTCCTTTTGTTTTCACTATTACACTTTGCCACGGCACACTTCTTTTGCCTTGTAGTGTCTCAATAATTGTTTAGAACCACGCAGAAATATTAACGCACAAATATTAAAATTGTTATTTGGTTTTTTCGTATGCTCACAATCAACAATTGCACCAAGATGACGTCACGCACACAGTTAGTTCTGTCAAAATCACAAAGAGCGAATTAGCGGTACCGCGATTGGCGCAATCTCTATTTCTCTCAATCGTGGTCACCGTATATATACTACATATCGTCGGTGATACTGCAAAATGGTCTATGTCTATTAGTACCCTTGACACTTAGATGGTCTCTTACTTGCACCAGAATGCATCTGCAAATCGTTACACCCTAATAACGAATGACAAAACTGTGTACCTTTTGCTGATGAAGATGAACGATCGCCATAAGCGATCAGATCAATTAAGCACCAGAGGTAATAAGTCACATAGAACATTTTGCAGTATCACTTTTTGCATATTCCGTGAACGAGTAACTCTGATCCACTTTCTACTTACGTAATACGTATGTTACTTAATTAAAGAAAAAATTTATGGTTTCTCGTTTAAAATTCCAAAGATGTCAAATAGGATGGTGGAAATGTTTATTTGTGATTGCCTATACTTAAGCATCGTCAAACAGTTTCCAATTCTCCGCCAAATATATTTACCTTTTCTATATTTTGTTTATTATTTTTTCCTACGACTTAATATACAAATTTAGCGATAATCTTGTTTTGTATTTTTCTGTATATGGATGTGTACATATGGACGTACATGCACACATGTTTACAAATATACGTATATACGCACATATGTACATACGATGTATGTACATAAGCCTGAATATATACATATATTTAAAATTTTGTAGTTCTAAGTTTATTGCTTTATTTTACTTATTTACTATTTATTATTTATGCATGTGCATACATATAAACATTCATATGTACGTAGGTGTGTCTACATATATTTGCTTGCTTACCGGCAGCCGAGAGATATAATACTGCAATAAGTAATGTGCTGAACCACCGCATCGTACAATAGTAAAAAAAGATCTGAAAAAGTTGGGCGATAGCAATTGTATGTATGTATATGGAAAAAAGGCGTGAGTACTAGGTACTCATGAAATTTGATGTGTATACATATGCGAACGGCAAAGCATAAAAGTACGTTTACATATAAATATAATCTCAATCAAAGCTGGGTAGCTGTCAAATTGGTTGTGCTTGTTATTCACACAACTCGAGGAAACGTTAAACTTCTTCTCTGTGCCACCGTGGTCACTTTTTTGCAGCACATATTAGGCCATTTAAATATATTTACAATTGAATATTTTATTATAAATACCTTTACAAACCTATTTTCCTTACTAGCGTCAATTTTTGTTTACTTTAATATTTGACATTCCTCCTCTTCTTCGCAAGTATAATCGATAAAACTAAGTTGGACACCAAAAAGTTATCGGTTTAATCTGAGATATTTTTAATTATAATTTTGCATGGCTATTAGGATTAGGATAATCTTTTTATATGCAAAGCTATTATTAGGCGATTCAGTTACATACATACAAATGTAGGTTAGGTTAGAAATTAAACATTAATTTCAGTTAATTTTATTCATTTTTCTGATTTAATTTTTTTATTCATTTTCATTTTTAATTATTTTAATACATGAAATTATCGGTATGATTGATAAAATATACTTGTATATACTTGTGACTCAAGGGCGTTAAAATATCTTGGAAACACCGCATCAGTTATTGTTTTTGAGCTTATAGTTTGAGCATTTCTATTTGTATATGTTCCTAAATTTACCAAAATAGACTACTAAACCTATGCCTAAAACCATCTACGAATATCAAAACCAGGGCATGAATCACGTATGACGACATTCGTCTGAACGATATCGTGTCGAGATTGTCTTGCTTCATAAAAATCAAAAATTGTTTGATCGTTTGTGCGATATCGTCAACTCGATTCCAGTTTTGCTTCACGTAACAGTAACAGTAGCCGTCAGCGTTTCGCCAACAGTTAGCGAGTGGCGAAACGAACGAATACAATGAGGTACAACCAAACTCGCTATCGTCTATCCGTGCTAGCTAACTTTGTTGTTGCTTTCACATGCAAAATTTTTCGTTAAGCGACCGGAACTCAAACATAGCAAGCAGCGAAGTGGCGAATCGATGACGGCTATTAACACGTAACCGCAACACAAATGCATAAATCAGTGTTTTGACAACATCGTTTTGTCAGTATCGTTTGAACGACTATCGTTTCAAAGTTAAGTGATTCATGCCCAGTTGCAACAAATGAGTCCATATATATTTATGTACATACATAGGTACAAAGCCGTATGCATGTGCGGGGTTTAAATAATCGGAAGTAATAATCAATTGTAGCGCATTTCCTGTTACTATGCATATGCCTAAATGTATGCAACCATTTGGCAAGCAAACACAGGGTGTTTCTAATGAAAATAAAAATTTTATGCTGAAATACACATGCTAAGCCCTTCGAAATTTTGTGCTGGGATATGCGTTACAGCTTCGTAATTTTTACCCCTACCGAAACCAAAGATGTATACACATCAATAATTCGATGAGGGAATTTTCAATGTATTCAAGTTTACCTATTCTTTCGTAATATCCCAGTGATTAAACCCAGGATCGGAAATATTCACTCATGTTCGTACGCGAACGTGAACGTAAACGATTTATTATTATCTTATTCGTTCTCGTTCGCGAACGAGAAGCATAAAACAAGTCCAAATTGTTCGCGTATGTTAGGTAGCAAACATTTCCGCTGTTGTTCGTAAGCGCATGTATTGGTGAATCAAACAGCATGCATACTTATATGTAGCTACAACCCTGCAGTGAAAAGCTAAACCAGTATGTACAAATTCCAGTTCATGAACTATTATTTAAGGATAAAAGTCACACCAGTTCGTTATGAACCATAATTATACTAGTTCCGCGCAGAAAAAAGTAAACTAGTTGGTAGAAATTCTAGTTCGAAAACTGGTATTAAATGGGAGAGTCATACCAGTTCGTCATGGACTATAATTATACCAGTTCTCCGCAGTGAAATGCCAAACCAGCCAGTATAAATACTAATTCATTAACCAGTATGTGCTAAAGCGACGGCCTACCATTTCGGCGATTTCGGACAACTTATGCGATCAGCGACATCTGTCTTTGAATAGGCATAACCAAAACTAAAACGTGGTTAATTGCTTTCATCACAAATGTCGGCTGTGGCGTCGAGTGAAGACTACCGATTCTGGTTCTGAGATCTCAGGACAGAGTGCGCGTGGAGGTTGTTAAAGTAAAGTAAGTAAATTAATTTAAATAATTATTTCAAGTTAAATATAAAATAAAAATTGTACATAAATTTAATTTGATTTGGAAAAAACCTAAATACTCAAATACCATAAAAAAATGAAAATAAATCATTTTTTGTTCTTTTTAAAACAATAAATTTAAAAATTACACAAGAGATATGAATAAAAAAATAAGCAAATAAAAAAAAAAAAATAAAAAAAAGATTCGCTCACTGAGATTCGAACTCGGATCTCTTCATTTGCCAAAGCTTTACTCTCTCGACCATTGCCACTGTTGCAGCGCCGCGAGCAAAATGACATACTTATGCTTTTCACGGGGGATGAATAGGCAGTCTATCCCGTCAACTGGTATGATGCTACTAGTATTTCTACTGGTAACGTGGTGATGCAGGAGCGGACAATTGACATCTCCTATGACACCCCCATGTTAAAAATACCATTCGCTAACATTGAAAAAGGATACAACGTGAGCTAGTTGGGCTGAAACGCAAACTGGTAGCATTCTGGTTCACAACTGGTAGCTTTCCCTACAGGGAAGATGCATTGATTCGCTCGCGAATAGGGATGCAAACGA